TCAATGCTGGTTGCTTTCAGTGAGTCTGGGATAATTTTGCTCATTCCTTAACCATGGGAGTTGTTGTATTTTGCTTAGGGATCATCTATCACATTATTCTTCATTCTCTGGTTGCTGAAGTTTGTTCCAAGGCTATTTCTTTCAGGCACAACCAGCTCTCAAATCCACTTTCTTTAAATTTATAGAAGACACTCAAGGGAGATCCAAAAGGGAGAGGAGACCAAGGAAACTGACCAAAACCTCTGGGGAATTTGGTGGAAAGCATAACTGAAGATAAAATGATCAAATATGTAGAAATACAATTCCTAGGGGAAAAGAACCCACATGGCTTCTGCAAATGTAACTCTAATATCAAAGAGTTCTTTAAGTTTGTCATTAAGCTTGTGGGTAGGGTTGATATTGTTTTCTTCAACTTCCAGAAAGCTTTTGACAAGATCCCTCTCCAAAGTCTCCTAAAATATTAAGCAATCACGAGATAAGATGAGGATCCTCTTATGGACAGGCAAGTGGTTAAAGAACAAAGCAGAGAGCAGCAGTAGGTGAGTCAGTTCTGGCAATAGAGGGGTGTAGCCAGTGGGGTCTCACAAACATCCCTTTGGGGGCTGGTGCTTTTTAACTCATTCATAAATGATCTGGAGGTTGGAGTGAGCAGTGAGGCTGCCATGCTTCCTAACATCACCAAACAATTTAGGATGGTTGAAACAAAAAGAGCTTATGACATGTTCCAAAAGGAGCTCTCCAAGCCAGGGGACTGGGCCTTAAAATGGCAAGCAAGTGCAAAGTGAGGCTTGTTGATGGGGGAAAGATCAGCATGGCTAGGGTATCTCAGCCAGCAGGGATGCACCAGACAGAAATGTTGCGGTTGTGGGATGTGTGGATGGAAAAGTCAACCCAGTGGCCAAACTCCAATATCAGTCCCCATGCGCCGGTTATGTGCTGCTTGAATTCCCTAACTGCTCTCACAGTGCACAGCCTCCTGTGTCAACCCAACCCAGTGTACATGCAGCAGGGAGAGGCTTTGCAAATGCCCCAGGACCCATGGCTTGTTGTAGGGTGAGGCCTACCATGCACCTCATGTGATCTCAACTACACAGTAAGCCATCTAGCACAAGGGTAATTAGCAAAATCACAAAGTGTGCAACCGACAGACTGCAGCCTCATGGTTGTCTGAACCTGGTCAGTGTATGGCTGTTATAAAAAAGGAAAATTCCATGTTGTGGATCATGAGATCCAGGACAGATAAAAGGAAGTCCTGACTGACATCCAACCTGAAATCTGGTTCCTCGAGCTTTGCCCCATTGGACCGCATCCTTTTCTCCACTGCAGGGGAGAAAAGGTCATGACCCTCTTCCATCTGACAGCCCTTCTCATAGCTATATGTCATTATAAGATCCCCTCAAAGTCTCCTCTATGCAGGCTGAAAAGACCCAGTTCCCTCAGTCGCATCTCATGTGGCATCCCCCATGTCTGGCTACCAACCTTGTGACCTGTGCTGAACTTATTCAAACCTAGCTATGTCTCTCCTATAATGTAGAGCCCAGAACTGGATGCAGTACTCCAGTTGTGAGGGCACCAGAGTCGTACAGAGTGACACTAACACTTCGCTGGCTCTGGAAGCCACGCTTCTGGTGATACATCCAAGGGCAGTGTTTGCCTTCTTAACCACTGCATCACACTGCTGGCTCAGGGACATTACACTGTATCTTTTCATGTGTCAGAATTTGTTATGACATCTGGCCTTCAGGTCAAGTGTTTCAATGCTTTGGCTTAGTATTACCTTGTTATTACTTTTTTTTTTTTTTAGAAAAAAACATTCAAACATTTATAAAAGTACATGAGTGAGCCCTCAGAAAGAAAAGGAAAATATATGCCTATTCTTCTTCACTCCAAGTATTATGCTTCATTCCTCTGACATAGTGTAAAATAGGTTCACGAATATTCCACAGGAGTAAGCATTAGAAAACAAAGTTTTAAGGCTGGTATTGGAAGCATTAAGGCAGTTCAGTTCCCTCTCACCTACTTTTGATTATCTGGTCTCTTAGATACTGATCCTAGTGACAATGAAAAATATCAACACGCAAGTGTTTACAGCACAGATGTGTTATTGTGGTGCTCTCTTGATTTTGCTTTGTGTGTGAGTTTTTGGAATACAGTACACTTGATCTGGGTTAACTACCCTGTAATGGACAATCTAGTTTATGAATTTAGATCCCATTCATGCTGAGGATAATTTGAAACAGGTCAAAGAGCCCCACTGACTGATCATAATGTCATGTGACTAAACCCAGATCAGGAAGGTTGTAAGCAAAAGCTTGTTTCCAGGTGACTACTTCATGTCAGGGCACCTTGTGGAGACAACATACTTTTCAAGGTGTGTGAAGATCATTCTCTTTAGAGTGTGTGTGTGTGTGAGAGAGAGAGAGAGAGAGAGAAAGCCATATCATATTATAGAAAGTAAGTTAAGAAAGATTCACAAGCAAACCAGTTGCAAGGAACCAACTCTACCACAGATAACTTTACACCAGGTTTCAATAACAGAGTCACATCAATGCGTAGCCTATATATATATTAATGGTGTGTTACTCAGCCCAGATAACTGAGTGAGTTCTGCAAGTAGTAAATTCATCTCTCTAATAAAGGTGGTTAATAATTCAAAGTTTGCTGCACTGAGCTGCACTGAAGCCCAGAAGATACTACAGACCTGTTTTGGGAAAGTTGATCATCTTACAGTCCCAGTGATGATTTCCCCCTTGTTTAATAGTGTATTCATTGTTCAGATCTGTATGAGAAAACAGGAAAACTGATCCAAAGAATTTTCATCACTGAATTGCAAGGAGAAAAACTATTTGTAGTGAAAAGCATCTTTTTAAAAAAGCCCTCATGCATTTACTTTTATTTATATGTTGCCTGATATCAGAAAGTTCCCAGGGGGGCTCAGGTAAGAAAGTGGATGGAGAGTGCCCTTCTCCCATAGTAAGAAAGGCCAACTTAGAGGAAGCTTCTGTCCGTAGTGTGCCCTATGCCTGGATAGGGCAACTCATAACCTCCAGGTACTGTTAGACTACACATATCATCAACCCCTTACCACTGGCTTTACTTGCTAGAGCTGATGGAAATGGCAGTCCAGCAACAGCTGGAGAGTCACAAGTTGCACACCCTAGGAGGAGAAAGGCATTTGCCTCCTTCCAACTTGGACTGTGAAAGGGCAAGTCACACTCTGAAGATCTTCTATGCTTCTTCAGAAACCCAGTCAAGCCATTGGCATGCCTTTTCCTTTAGCAACTCCTTCTGTGAGGAGTAAGTCTCATCCTGTTCTTACTCCCTACAGGCCTATCTAGGATTGCATGTAAATTCCCTGACCCACAGCTGTCCCTTACATGATGTAAAGTGACCCAGCTACTGGGTGTGATGAAAGGCTAGGAAATGGCTAAGTGATGTAATTTACGGTTGCTGTGCTTTTACTCCCAGAGAGGGGAAGGTGCTTGGGGGATAACTTGTGCCAAGCTGGTGCACCATGGCAGGGGTAATGCTAGTCATTCACTGCTCAGCCTTGAGTCAGCCCAGGTCTGGTTCCCTTGGCCTGAGCACTACTTCAGTCTGGCTGCTAACCCATCCAGGTTCTGCGAGACTACAATAATCACCACTAGGGGGCTGAGAAGGGTCTTCTTCTCTACCTCCTCCACCTAAGCTGTTATTGCCTTATTGGCTTTGGGGAGTCTCTGAGGTTTTGTTTTTTGCCATTCAGTTCAAGCTTATCTCTTGCTCTCTGACTCATCTGGGTCTTAAAGGGCACCTAGGTTGGCTCTATTTTGGGTTGTTAAGGTTGTCACTACTTTAGATCATGCAGCCTGAGGTTAGCTACATACAAGAAGCAGCTGGGGAGCACCTCTTTACAGAAAAGGAGTGCCTGAAGTGCTTCCTAGGGACTAGGAATATTTGGGGTGGTGTTGGCTGGGGGTCTGTCTTTTCTAGGGCAACTACTTCCAAAGGGGAAGCCATGTTTGACTGTTGCAGCAAAAATAACCAGGAGTCATGTGTCACCTGAAAGACTGAAGCATTTATTCTGGTGCAAGGTTTTGTGGACAGTTTCTACTTCATCACGTGCATGAAGCGTTAACCTCAAATGGGCAGATCTGTATAGACACACAATGAAGTATCCACAACCACTTGTGCCAGAATAAATGTCTTAACCTCAAAGGGGCCACATGGCTGCTGTTTTCTCAGGTAGCAATTTCTCAGGTTTGCTTGGGATCTCCTCAGTGCTGCCTCTGCCCTTATACTGGGTGGGTGGGGGGGGTGTCTTGGGTGAGGGAGAGGAGCCTCTGGACACCCTGCCTTGACTTGTGCTTACATATATAATTTAAAGTTAACCTAATTTGCAGATCCTCAGTGAAATTGTGGCCCACTTTACCTCCCTATCTCATGTTTTGTTGCATTCCTGATAGGGAACATTGCCATCAATGAGCAGGAAACATGATCAGAATGAGTCAAGAAACCTTTTTCCTTGACCTGAGCTGTGATTACATTAAAAACAGGATTAATTCAATCAGTGAGATCAAAGGCAGATCATGGTTAAACATTTGGCACTCTGAAGATGCTGGTATTCTCCAAACCCAACAGGATTTAGTTCGACAAACAGAGGGCTTTTTAAAAAAATGAGACTGTCTATGAATTAACATTCTTTTAGCCAGACTTGAAAAAGCAACATTAAATATAAGGAGGGAGGAAAAAAACAGAGAGAGAGAGAAAGAAATCGTCTCCCTTCTTTTTTTCTTCTTCTGTGTCTTGGGGGTGTGGGGAAGAGGAGTTTTCTTCATGAAGCAATAGCCAACGTCCCCCCCATGCTATTGAAACTCCCCCCCCTCCAAATAGGAGTCTCAGGAGGGCTTAAAAGAGAGAGGAGGGATTAGATAATTTCTGCTATTTTATTGGCTGAGTTACCTTGTCTGAGCATGCCCATTGGATGGGTGTATATAAGAAGGGGCAGTGAACGCACTCAGTCTGTCTCCTCAGTTCTGGAGCAGTTCATTGAAACCAGAACTGCTGCTAGGAGAGCTAAGCCCTACCATCCTTGCCTCTGGAAACAAGATCCAAGCAAGAGGCAGCAAAGCAAGGCAATCCTCCCTTTTCCATACACAAAAAGAAGCGAGCGAGTTAGCGAGCGAGAGAAAGAAAGAAAGAGAGAGAGAGAGAGAGCTACAAGGGACTTGCTAAACCAAATACAACCAGAAATCCAGCCAAGCGAGATCACCATGTCAAGAGTGCAGAGCCACATGGATGAATGCTGCAACCACTCAGCCTTGTTCCAAATCTGTACGCAAGAAGTTGAGAGCCCCGCTGGCAGTTCCAAGGTAAGGGGGAAAACAACCCATCCTGGACTTCTCTCCCGTTCGAAAGCAGCCGGAGGCAGGGCAATGCGAGCGAGCCGCAGCATCATAACAACTCTCGAAAGAGCTCGCAGCTCGGGCGTCTGTCCTCTGTCCTCGCTCTCCTTTTCGCTTCGCGTGCTCGAGAGTTCACAGAAGGACGCAGATCGCAAAAAAGAAACAAAGCTCTTAAGTCCACGGGGGAGCGGCGGGAGGGAAAGGGGGGAGAAAGAAAAAAGTCTGTCTCTGCTCGGGAGTTTGAGTTCCGCTAACAAGCTGCAAAGTTTTGTAACGGGTTTTGTGTGTTTGTGTCTTTGGAAAGGCACAACTTTCAGCACTCTGCCTCGAAAACTTAACTTGTTTTTCTGCACACCTTTTGTGAGGCCGTTGCCTCTGTTTCCAAGACCCCCGTGCAAACGATGGATAGCCGAGCAATTCCCAAAAAGGCTGAGCTGCAAAAGTGACCGGCGCGGGGAACGGGAGCTTGTCTCTCCGTCTGTCTCCCTCCCTCCCTCCCTCCTTCTTTTCCCCCTTTAATATAATTGAAAAGGGTTTGCAAGGAAAGCGGGCGGGCGGAGGGACCTTAAGTTCCTTATCCCACTGAACTGATCCTTCGACACTAGAGGGAGCCCAAGGGATGGCTCAGAATCCACTGTTTTTGACTTCTTGCAAGGCTTGCCTTCGTTTACAGGTTAAGGGAGCAGGCGAGAGCGAGCGCTGCTCGGCAGCCGTGGCATTCTTGCAAGTGTAGGGACTCGGGGCTGTTCGTCCGAGGGAATTGCCGGCATGCGTGTGGTGACCTCAGCGGGCGCAGGGTTGGTATATCTGCTTGAGAAGCGCAATGTGCGTGCCCCGTAGAGTTAGATCTGTCAGAGGACCGGAGGCAAGTCTCGCCTCAGCCCTCTTTGGATTTTATGAATGGTGGAGCTCGCGTTGGACAGAAATGGCAGATGACTTGTTTAAAAGTGTGCTTTGTTTCTGCCCTGTGTTGTCTTGAGAACCAACCCGCGCACAACCCACTAGGTAGCTCAGGGATACCCGTGAGTGTTAAAAGTCCTGATCGCACATATTGAAATCCAAATAGCTGCCAGTCAGCCAATACGTGAGTAGTAAGTGGAGACTCAGAGGTGAGCTCTGGATGTGTCTATCGATCATGCATTTGGTGTCCACAGATGTAAGCATAAATCCTACCTGTGATTGGGAGATCTAGATTGCATCTCTGAGTGAAAGGACATGCAAGGTCATATACTGGCTGTTGGCAGGAACATTAAGCCATTGATTGCTGTTATTATTACTGCTCCTGTTATTATTGCAAAGTTATTGCTTGCTCTGCTCAGGCTGCTTAGGGGAAAGACAAGGAATGCTGAAGACTTGTGCATTTGGGGCAAAGAGTACACAGTTCCTTCACTCCAGTGATTATTAAATCCACTTTTTTAATGCATATCCGCACACACACCAGCTCTCTAGATCTCTGCGGGAGAAAACTCAGAAAAGGAGGAGGGTGCAGGAAAGGAAAGTCTAAATCTGAGGGAGTGTTAACAGCTGGCATAGGGTTACTTTGTATGAAATTATTATTATTATTTTCCCCTCCTTCGTCTCCTTCCAACTGCTTTCTCTAAGGGTAAATTGTTTTGAGAAACTTGGAATGGTTTTCGCACTTTTCTGAGTGGGAGGGATTTGGGACACATGAAAAACTATAGTTTAACACCACTGGAAGGGCAGATGTGTCTGAACTGCTTTCAGCTGATACAGCTGATAGTATGTTAACTGGTTCTCTAATCCGTGTGGCTCCAGTTTGGAAGCGTTTGCAGAAAGAGTGGTAGCGAGGGACATTTTGATCCATGGCGTTACTTGAGAAACATGTGAGGAGCCAAAGGAGTGCTGCCTCAAACTCTTGGGCTGGTACTTGGTTGTGTGCCACTCTGTGTGACTATATACAACGCATGCGTCACTTCACTGCTACTACTATTTGGTATTTGTCCATGGCAAGAAAAAACGTTTCCTTTTCTTAAAGAGATTCAAGCATTCCTGGCACAAAGAGTTGAAGCAATGGAAGAAGGCAGTTTCCCTGCTAAGGGGAGGCAGTGAAAAAGGGCAGCACTTATGTTATCAAAAATCTTTTATTGAGGGATATACAACAGGAGTTTCCCTTCTGGCGGAACTTGTTCTTGTTTTCCCAGCAACTTTCTTTAAAGTGAAAAGCTGCTTACCTGTGGTTTGCACACGAGGCCGCGCACTATTGTCTCTCTGTTGGATCTGTCCAGTTTTCTACAGCAGTCTGGAAAGATCAGTGGGACCTTGTTACAGGGCCATCCTCTGGGTTTAAAAAGTCCTTTATGATCTCAAGATTTTCTTAGTCCCCTGTGGAAAGGGTGCAACAGAGACGTTGCTTGCTGGATGCAAAATGATGGCTAGTTCTTGAACTTATTGTCCTCATTGTCTTGATTCATAAGAAGAAGTGTTGTGACAGCTTAGAACTGGTGGATTGTGGCAAGAACCCTTTTAGGCAAGTGTCTGCTTAATCAGCTGAATCAAGCCAAATGAGGAGGGTGCTGTAAAACAAGATGCTTTAAAATGATGGGAACAGATGACAACTCATCCCAACAAGGGGATGAACAGGTTAGCTCTTATTATCAGGAAGTACAGGAAATTCAAATACGTTTTGAGCAAATTCTAAGTTATTACATTCTAGTCTCCATTTGCAACTGGGAGATACATTTCACATCCCAACCTTCTAATTTTCTTCAGATTTTTGGAAACCAGTGAAGGGCAATAAAGAACAAGTTGTAAACTTTGACAGTTAGATTTGATTAGTCAACTGGGTGAAGATTTGAGTTGTATTCCCTTGTCTTCTGTCTGATACCTTGAGAAAACTGAGCATGATTAAGATTTTTCTGTTTAATATAAATTTAGTCGTCCCCCCCCCCCCGGGCTCTATACCAACAGCCAAGCAGTGCTGATATACTCATATGCCGACTTCCTTAACTTGCTGCCTCATAGAGGTTAGACCTCAACTCCCATCAGTTGTAGTCCAAAATATCTGGAGAACATCCTGTTGGGGATAGCTGCCCTGATTGATTGATTAAGTTCATTTTTATACTGTCCAGTAACTGAGGCTTTCTGGGGTGTTAACAAAAGTTACAAGTTAACACATCACAACAAACAATTCAATAATTCTGTTACCTCTCTATTCTTACTGATTTGGTTTCTCCCTTATTAGACCATCCCTAGTAGACCAGTTTGCCAGCAGAGCCCTTTGGACATGGCTGAAGATGGTATCTGACACAGGAGGCAGAAGGGAGGAGTTTCAGCTAGGTGGAGCCCCCATTTCCACTGGCCCTAAAGCATAGTGCTGCTTGCAACAAGTATTAAACAATAACTGAGTACATCTCTGTACTTGGCTGCATTTTGCTTTTTTTTTTTAAACTGTGTGTGTGTGTGTGTGTGTGTGTGTGTGTGTGTGTGTGTAAGGCAGCTGGGCAGAGGACCAACCTACACATATCTGAATGAAAATTCTATAGCTGATGCTACTGGGGACCAGTCAAAATCTGAATACAATTAAGATGCAAGTCTAGACAAAAAAAAAAAAAAAATCAGGCTTGCAACTCCCCATGCTGGGAGTAGTCCACCTTTTTCCTCTCTAGACCTGCACAGGTTGTACCGTTAGATGAAGAAGCATCTTTCCTGGGAACTCGGTGTTGCTACTGGGAAAGCCTGCCCAGCTTTGAGGCAGCACTTTCCACATGTGAGAGCAAAAAGAGTCCAGGTTCTCCTGCCAGTGCTGGGTTCACCTTTTTTGCCCAGGCTTGCCTTTTAAAGGCCCTTGTTATAGGACTCTGATGAAGACAGCTTCAAGCAGCCCTGCCAATAAGTCCATAAAATCCAGTAGCAGAGCAGTCATTTAGAAAAATGTTAGTCTGTTAATCACATGAGCTTTAAACAACTTGATCTGCTTTTAAAGTGGAATAAATTTGGATCTGAATAGAACAATCATTCTTTCTTTGTTCTTAGTGATGCAGGCAGGAGCAGAATCCATCCCATGTGTTGCACTTAAAATATAATATCAGTGTGATCTAGATGAAAATCAAACCCCTTGCTCTTTTTTAAAAGTCAGTTGACCAAGCATACCTAGTGTATATTAAGTCTAGGGTTTAACATACCTTAAGCATTCTTCCATTGTATAGAGGCCCATTAGAAAAGCATTCTGTGTGCAGAACATTTACCTATCTATAGCTACACATATTCCTATAGAATGGTCACATGTTATTTGAAACACTTCTCCCCCTCTCTAAAAGGACAGAAATACAAAAAAAGTCCTAGAATAAATCAAACCAGGACTTGCCCTGGAATCAAAGATGATGAAACTGAGGCTGTTGTACATTAAGAGATGGCAAGACTCACTGGAGAAACCAAGAATTCTAGGAAAGATTAAAGGCAGAAGAAGGGGAAGACCAGGTCAGGGATGGATGGATTCCATAAAGGAAGCCACAAACCTGAGCTCACAAGAGCTGCACAAAGCTGTCAAGGACAACACATTTTGGAGGGTCTAGTTGGAGAGGACTTGGCACCTATTATTGTGGAGTGGGGTGCAAGTCCTAAAATATGCTATGCTTGGGAGGGGTACAAAAGCTGACTACAAGATGGCAACATTGGCTACTAAGCCTTTGTTATCTCTTCTGTGCCTAGACTACAGTGGAGTAAACACAAAGATGCAAGGTTAGGGTTTTTTTCCCCCAGAAGATTCATCTGGGGATGAGAAAGTAGAGTTCAGCAGCAGGTAATAAATTGCTGTTTTCCCTTGCTATTCTCTGCCTGGTTTCCTATTACATTGGGTTCTGACGGTGAGGAAAGGAGAAAGGGAGAGAGAGAGACAGACAGAAACAAGCTCAAGGTGAACATCAACACCCAAGTAGTATTTGAAGCACCAGCATTTAAGTGGGAGGAGAGATCACAGGATTAAATTGTGCGATGGATCACTTAGGCATCCATTTTGGTCTTGGCTTAGGTTACAGCGTAAGCAACGTCATTCCCTTTGCGCAGTATTTATTGCAGGTCAGAATGCTTCAGAAATGGCCCTCCTGCCTGAGCCTTCCAGCCAAATAAAAATGCAAGTGGATCTTGGTTATTCCCCTTTGGCCCAAAGGAAGGGAATTGGGGGTCAGGGTGGGGGTGTTGCCAGAGAGAGAATGAGGGAAAGAGAGCATGACATATCGAGACTATATTTTCTGTTGTAATAGAAAGCTGACTGGTTTTCCTCCCACATAATCGGGGAATATCGGGTATGACCTCTGCTGACAAAATAGCGGCTTCCTCCACTGAGGCTCTGTGTAGGAGTTCCTGGGCCAGGGCTTGGGTAGGACACTGCAGCTCACAGTGGCTTGGAAACCAGTTCTCTGCTGGAGCCTAGAACCATGGAAGAGCTCCCTCTGTGGCTCCCTATAGAATCACAGAATCCTATAGAATAGAAGAGCTGGAAGGGACCATCCTTTTTAAAATGGCATTGCCTTGTGACGGGGAGCAGAACTTGCTGCAGGGACTGTGGTAGTGTCCTTGAATAACTCAACTTTGGAGGCATATCTTTCCCCTGTCTGTTTCTCAAGACAGGAGAAGATCATGCCAAGATCTCCATGCTGTGTGTGTGTTTTTCTGCACTGCTGGCCAGAAAAAGGTTTTTAAAATGCCACATCATCTACTGTTGCAGTGACCCCAAAGAGTGGTAGAAAGAATATTGTTGGAGGAGTGGTGGAATAGATCTTATTTCTGAATTTATTCCCAAGAACTTGAAAACTTCAGACACATGTAGATACCCAGATGTGAGACCTCCTGGAGAAACACACATGCGTACGCAGACTCTTAATCATAGTTTGTCAAACATATAATGCCAGTGTTTATACCACCTTCACTGGCTGCCAATTGAAGACAAGGCCCACATTAAGGTTCTTACAATAACTTATAAGGCCCTAAGCAGTTTAGGACCTGGACATCTAATGGAATGTCTCCTTCCATACACACCTGCCTGGGCCCTAAGGTCATCGGCAGAGGTCGTTCTCTGGGAGCCTGCTGCTAAAGACCTAAGGAAGCTGCTTACCCAGATAAGGCCCTTTTTGGTGGTGGCACCCTGTGTATGGAACAAGCTCTCTGGAGAGATGTGCCTTGTGCCACTACTATACACCTTTTGGTACCAGGCCAACCCTTTTTTATTTTCATGGTAGTTTAACTGTTAAAAATGTTACATTTTTAGCTTATTGCATATGGTACTGGGGTTATTTGTTTAATTTGTTTTTGATTTAATTATTTCATAATTATTTGTTTTAGATTATATTTCTGATTTTACATTTTTATTCACATTTTTCACATTCTTATTAATGTGATTTTTTACTGGTTTTATTTTGGGATTGTTTAAACTTGAATGGCTGTGTATGTTATGGTTTTAATTTCTAATGTATTGTACACTGTCCTGAGAGTCATGGACTAAATAGGAACCATATCAAATATCTTAAATAACCAAATGAAGGACTGCTCAGTTTTCATGTTTATGAGAAATGTATTGTGTTCAGAGTCAGTGGCAAAGTGGTTATGGTCATCATCGTGGGCAAGCCTGACAGTTGGGAAGTTGGGATTGGAGGGTTTCCCCCGCTCATTTTTGGGGGCAAGAGCCTGTTTGGCAAACCGTGGGGCACATGGGAGCCACAGGGGCAGCGCTCACAAATGGGCTGACCTTGGCTTCCCACCTGGGACATGCCAGTAGTGTGTCCATCGCCACATGCAGCATTTAGCTTCATGCATATCCCTGTGCACAAAAGTGGTGTTAGGAAAGCAATACGGCAGGTGGTGCCCCACAGCTAAATCCCATTGATGAGGATGGATGCATCCATAGTTGCTCTGTGGGGCAAATTTGGAAGGTGGTGATAAGCGAAACATACCAATAGCGCCCTGTTGCTGTTTTGGGTCTGCTATTTGGAAAAGGCTGGTTATTCTGCAAAACACCACCCAAGGTTACAGTAAGAGTGCAAATCTATACCATGGATTCTATAGTTTGAACTTAAAACCCCCCACCCCACATTTCCAAAATTCTTGAGCGGCCACTTATCCACACAGCTGCACACAGGCTGTGGTGCATGCCGAGTCACAGAAGCTCTCTAATGCAAGCACCTCAATCCAAAACCATTTGTAAGACTGTATTGGCTTAGACAGCATTGATTGCAATGTTATCCATTAACAGGGGCCAAACCTGCAGCAAGCACCCATTCAATTATTTTTTCCTTGTGCTGCTTTCGGACAGCTCTGTGTGCTCCGTTTAGGACTTTTAACCGAAACATTCACACACATCTTTATCTTGGGATCAACTCGGTTGTGATCCTAATACTGCTTTGTGTACAGACACAGCACTGATTAGCTTTTAACAGTTTTCCTGGGCTACAAATTGATGCATAACCAGACTGTTACCCCCACGCAGCATTTCTTCATTCCAGAACATAAGATGTTGGGTATATAGGAAAAGCATTTAAATTGAATATTCTGAAATAGCATTTGACTAAAGTCCAAATTGGATGCTTTGTTTTAAGTGAAAAAACAAAAGTGAGTTTGGATCATCCCCATCCTTTCCCTGCCTAGAACAGCAAGTATTCTTCCTCCATCTCCAGGGAGCTGTGGGGCTACTCACTGCTTTAGAAAGTCAGGTTGCTTCCCCCGCTGGGGACTGAACATGCTATAAGTTACTGGAAAGCTGGTGATCCAGAATAGCTAGTATGGATTAATGGATAGAAAACTGGCCTTGGACTCTGTCTAGGGTCACATTAGAAAGTCTGGGGCTAAGCCAGGAATAGATTGAACTAGATCACTGGTGGGATGTTTTCCAACTCTACAAAAGGTCACCCTGTCTGCCTTGTGCTGTTGCGACAACCACAGACTCTGCTAGCCGTTCCAGAGAACTATGGCACTTTCCCTTAGGGCAGTAGGAAGGCTGATCTTAAGTTGCCTGAAACAATGCTCTAGACTTAGGGCAGGAAGGTTTGATTGATTAACAGGTCAGATTAATTATTTTTTAAAAAGTGTTTAAAAGGTCTCTCTCTCTCTCTCTCTCTCTCTCTCTCTCTCTCTCTCTCTCTCTCTCTCTCTCTCTCTCACACACACACACACACACACACACACACACACACTTACACACTTAGCAGCAGATTTACAAATATGTGCTTGTTAACATGAAGCAGTTATAAAAACTGCTGATGGCCAGATCCCTCTGGCATTTCCCCCCTTCTCTCATATGAAGGGTTGCCTTTTCTAAGAAGATGTCTGACAGTGCAAAAGCAGATCAACACCACAGCATGTTGGTTCCTGCTTCAGAAACATTATCGATGCCCTTTTTCATCAATATGCACCTGTCAAACTAGTTCTGCTGATACTGTGGACTGTTGGCTAGAAATATATGGCCCTGCAGCACCCTGCAAGGTTGGGAGAACCTTGTGAAATTGATAATATGGCCTACTTCATCACAACCTCTAGATTCTGACAATGTCTTATACCTTTGTATGGTAATACAGACAGCTCTTCCCATTCAAGTCCAGATTCAAGCTGGCTTGGGCCTCTGAGCCCTTCAGGAGCACAGCTAAACTTTCCTCAGAGAGAAGGTTTGCTTCTTTAGTGTATGTTTTATGGTGTTCGGAATGTGTACTCCTTGCCCCTACAGGCCTTTGCAGAAGGAGCCATATATCACCCCTCTTGTCCTTGATACTAGCCCAGTGGTGATATCCCACCCACAAGGACCAGTGGTGCCAAAGGAAGGTCTCTGCCTTCTCTGCTCCTTTCCCATTGAGGGGGTCAGTGTGGAGCCATGGACCATCCGGCACCTCTGGCAAGTCTTGCCATTTGCTTGCAGATCTAATTTTGAATGTGCATCACCATCTGGGGAGTGCTGAAGGAACACTTTTATCAGTAATGCTCTGAATCTCTCCCTTAGGCGCAGAAGATGTGCACTTCCTGGCGGATATTGCTGCTCGCACTCACCTTCCTGGCATACATGGTTGATTCTGTCTCTGCATATGGCCCGGCGGAAACCCTCTGTGGCGGCGAGTTGGTGGACACACTGCAGTTTGTCTGCGGGGACAGGGGGTTTTACTTCAGTAAGTATATTTTTGCACAGAGAGGGGCGCCTTTTGGTCTGCGTTGTCATTGGGAGAATTTATCAGCTCAGACCAACATGCATACCTGTAATGGTGAGGCTTGGCATTTGTATGATGCATTGCACGTTCTGGAAAAGCATATGTAAGACACTCCTCAGCTGACCTCACAACAGCTCTTTTAGAGGCAGACCAGCATTATTTTGATATTTGGGGACAGGGGACTGAGGCAAAGCTAAAAAATGGGTCCCTCATATTCTCACCCAGTGAATCTGAGGGGTTAAAAAGAGTTTTTAACCTGGCTCAAGTTCCTATTTGCTTCACAACTTCAGCATTATCTTGAAAAATGTGGGTCTACTTTTACCATGTATAGAATGCAATTTTTACCCTTCAAATTGGGTAAATGAAGGTTTCAGTCTTATGGCCTCCTATCTGGGGATGTTGGAGAAATCTACAGTGGATTGCAATGAGTTTGGATTTCTGTAAATCTAACCTGCAGATTCCATTGTGGACTTGCTTTTTCTGCATCAGGTGCATGCCACAGATTTGGGCACTCTTTTTAATTGGTGATGGAATGGTGCATTTGTACAGGATAATGAAATTCTTATGCATCCATAAAAAAGCAAACCAAAACAAAACAAAAACCTAGTTTGGTCAGAGAGCAGATGACAGACCAAAAGTCACCTCACAATCCATGAAATGCAGCAGAATGGGTTTAAAAATGGGTTTTTAAAACTTGGACATGCATACCTGGGACAAAGGTCTTTTAAATTCAGTAGGACTTACTTTGAGAAGACGCATGTAGGATTACAATGTTAGCCCTCTAGTTGTCCTGAACCCACCAAGTTTTATACCTTGTAGTAGCATTAGGAGTGATCCCCTTTTCAATGATCAGTACTATTTAGCTGATGACTTGGGAGAAAAGGGCTCTCTTGACTCTGAGGTCTAAGTTAATCACTTTTTAAATCGAGTTTTGCCTTGAATTTGGCCAAACATCTCCATAGTCTGCATAATACAGTTTAATTACCCAGGAGCAGGATAATAAAGAAGTTACTGAAAAACAAGAGCTGAACAGAAAGAATCCAAGAAGTCTGACAATTCCCAGGACAAATTACTATAAGCTCCCTAAGTTTCTGTCCCATCCAATGGAAACACAGCACAAAATGGACACACACGCACACATGTACACATACATACACAAGGCATTTTTTTAAAAAGGTGTAGATGCTCCCACTAGATTGTTGTAGCCACACATCTGAATATTGAGAATGAGAAATGCAGTGAGTGTTTGCTTTGCCCTTTACCAGACAAAAGCCCTACTATCTTTTTTAAAATTAGCACCCATTTTTCAGTGAGACCTTCAGAGCATAATCCTACAAAAAGTCCTGTAACTCTCAGCATGCCGGCTGGGGGATACTGGGAGCCATAGAACTTGTGTGTGTCTAAACATGCATAGGGTTGCATCCTTAACAAGCGATGGCTCTCCCTGTTTCAGCTCAATATGTGGCAGCAGGTAGCTGGGGAGCAGAATTCTGCTAATATTCTGTTCACATGCTGATGTGTCAATGCACAATATTTCCTCCTGCGCTTGTCTTTACAAGCACTCTGTGAGAACATTAGCTCTTGATGCACACTGAAACAGTAACTTAGCCAAGGCTATTGTAGAGCATTGTTCTACACTTTCACACATAGGGTTTTAAAAAATAGAGCAAGTGTTGCCACATTGAAATAGAATTTGGGAATATTTATGTTGTTGTAATGGAAGAGATGGCTGAAACGATTAGCGAGATAGCACATGCCAATGGCTACAGCCTCTTGGGAAGTGTGTGCACTGAAGGTTGTAGTTTGGTGTTTAAAAAGGGAGAGCTTTGCTCTCAGAGCTGATCCCAGAAGCTGAACCTTTGATCTGGAGGTCTTGCTTCCCAAACCTAGGTGTAAGGAGAGCCATTGCCTTGTGGTGGTGAGAAGGCTGGACTGGGGACCTGAGTGATCCAGGTTCTGGTCCCCACTTGGCCATGAAGCAAACTGGGTGACTTTGGGCAAGTCACTCACACTCTCAGCTAGGTCTACCTCACAGGGTTGTTGTTCCAAGGACAAAATTGAGCTGTACAAGCCACCTTGGGTTCTTCAGAAGAAGAAAAAGGTAGTATATAAATACAATGTGATTATAATAATAACAACAATACTGAGCTTACTTAGTGGTGAAGGAAGCATTTTCTGCACATGACCAGTTGCTTCATACACCTGCCAGACTTATAGGATATCATTCCTATTGCTCTCTAAAACTTTCATCATAAAATTGCAAACCGTTTTTGCTAGGGGTGCAAACCGCTACAGCAGCAGTCAGTGAACCTCAGGGAGAGAAAAATCTGTGGAGCTCCTTAGTTTAGCACAAAAGGACACACCAGTGTTTTCCTCCCATGGCATCCTCAATGCAAAGAAAAAAGCCGTGCAACTCGTGGACACGGTGTCTGGCATCTACTGATGCCCCAGTCCTGCTTCCCATGTTGTAGGTGGTCCAAAATCTCTTTTGAAAATGTTTTAGAAGGGAAGTTGCTATTTAGGCTCTTTAATCTACAGCTCTGTGCAAAACCACCAAAGGTCAGGACCCCAGCTGGGGCAATTCATCATAGCCCTATTGAAGTCAGGCTTTAAGCTGAGCCTTGGAGAGCTCAGCTCTCAGATGTTTTACGTGGTATTTCTTATTTGCTGGGGGCAGGGGGCAACCTGGTGGCAGTCCTGAAGAGGGGGAAGTTGAGCTAAAAATACTCCTGTCTAGGAAGCAGTCCAATCCGCAACAAAACCAGTTAATGTTTGTTCCAAATGGCACTTGCAGAATTGGTCGCTAGAACCACTGAAGTTCTGTGAAGAAGTGGCACAAGCAAGCTTTTTGGTTGCTTTTCTCCTGGCATCAGTCATAGGCACAAGGTACAGGATAGAGATAAGCATTTCCAGAGATGTGGCACAGTGGCCAATTTCTGGAATACTTTATTCCAGCTCAGAGGGAATATGCCGTGTGTATTCTTATCTTCAAAAAAATAAAAAAAATGCCTCTCAAAAATGGGTAAAAGAGACTTGAGTCTTCATTCACGGACTGGGAAGAGTTGTGGGGAGGGAAGAGGCGTCTGACTTCTGTAAACAACAGCTCCTGTTTCTTCCTTTCCAACAGCTGATAAGAATTTAGCTCTTTCCAGCCACTTATGCTGACAAAGCACATTCTCCCCCTCCCCCCCCTCCCCGGCAACCCTCAAAATAATACTAGGCAAAAGAAGGTGGGGGGGATAGAAGCTATTTTGGGGGAGGGGGTTGGAACAATGGCGGCGGCTGCCCAGCCATCTGACAAAGGCGCTCTTGTTGGTGCCCACATTCCTTTGACAGGGGAGGAGAGGATTGTTTACACCCAAAGCCTTCTTCCGCTTGACTTGGGGCTTGATTGATCAGACAGAAGTGGTGGTTGGGGTGTGTGAGGAAAGGGGGCATAGGTTTGGAGTATCTTGCAATTATTCAGAAGCGTGGCATGTGAGTCCCTATATGCTAGGCATTCATACATTGACTCTCTCTCTCTCTCTCTCTCTCTCTCTCTCTCTCTCTCTCTCTCTCTCTCTC